GATCATGGCGGTGGTTGAGAATGCTGGAATCAACGTGGTCGGTTCATCCAATCGTGCTGACTCGAATGGTGCTGCGCAAAATGACGTCGTCGGAGGCGATCATCACCACCACCTCCACCTTCATCATCAGTCCACAATGACCACGCCGCCGGCCTCCAATCACCCCAGCCCAAACCCTCCGATGCTCAGGTCAACGAAGCCACCGCCGTCGGCTGCTGCCGATCAAACCTTCATCAACCTCATGGTCCAGCAGCAGCACCAGATGATTGCTGCCACCAGACGCCTTCTAGTGCTCCGCCCGCTGCTCCTGCTGCTACCAATCAGAAGCCCCTTCCTAACTCGGGCATTCAGCATCACCATAACATCAACGGCAATGGACTGCCTAACCGGAATCACAGTGACAATAATAACAACGGCAATCAACATCATCATCACCACCAGAACATCAAAGGTGTCGATATGAGGATGGTGGAGTGTTGATGACGACGACGACGACGACGACGATGGTGGTTCTGATGATGGTGGAGAGGGTTTAAGAGGGAAATCAGGGATTTGGAGGAGATGCTCTCCAAACTCAATCCCATGGCGAGGAATTTGTTCCTCCGTCTCTAGCCGCCGTCAATCACCATCACAGGCTGTTGCCCCCAGCTGCAGGGCACTTTGGTTTCAATGCTAACAATTTTTTGATTCAGACCAACTCCGGGATTCCCACTGCAAATTCAGCTAGAAGGGTACTTCAACTAATGATTCATTTCCTTTTTCATTTTTATACTTGTCAGCAACATGTAGGGTTTCTAAGCAAAGGGGTGCCAAAAAATTCAAAATTTTTCTGAAACATATTGCAGCACCGTGGCTCAGATTGTAATAGGTTTGCCCTTGTTCAGGTGGGATGACTCTTGAGGTAAATGATTAGGATTGTTTAGATTAGTTGAGTTGTAAAATTTATGGAAATGTAAGGATACGCCAATTGAACTCTCTTCCACTTGCAGTTTATGCATCAAAATAGGGATGGGGTTCCTTTTAAGTTATCATAGCAACTTGGCTGGTGGTCAGTTTGAGTCATGCTGATTGTTTTGGTTATTTATGGCATGCACAGAAGAAGAACAACTATAGTCATGGAAAGCGAAGAATGAACAGCAGAACTAGTATGGCTCAGCGAGAAGATGTAATTAGGCGGACTGTATATGTATCTGACATTGATCATCAGGTTAAATAAAAAGTCTGCAGTACTTTATCATTGATATTCAGGGTATTCACATGTTCTAATGTTGTGCCTCTTGTCATGTTTCTAGGTTACTGAAGAGCAACTTGCTGCTCTCTTTCTTAGTTGCGGACAGGTTAACCTGTTTCTATATAGCTTGTCATACTTGACACGTGTTGAATAACATAAAATACTTTATCTGTGTTCATTTGATATTGTCCATTATTAACTTCTTGTTGTGTTTGATCGTAAAGGTTGTGGATTGTCGAGTCTGCGGTGACCCTAACTCTGTACTTCGTTTTGCCTTCGTTGAGTTTACTGATGAGGGTATGTTGATTACCTGTTCTTGCAATCGAGTGCTTGTCAGGTTTCATAAATCACAACTGCTTACATTATTGTTTCCACTGTTTCTGGCAGAAGGTGCAAGGAATGCTTTAAGTCTGGCAGGCACCATGCTTGGATTTTATCCTGTTAGGGTTTTGCCTTCCAAAACTGCAATTGCTCCTGTCAACCCAACATTCTTGCCGAGGGTGAGATTTTTATTCATCTTTGGCTACTTTGTAAAGTGTTGCTTCGAGCTTGCTGTTGTTGAGATGCTGATAAGTGCATATTGGGACATGCTATTGCACTTTTTAATATTGTTCCTTGTGATTTTTAGTCTGAAGATGAAAGGGAGATGTGTGCAAGAACTATTTATTGTACAAACATAGACAAGAAGGTACTTTGGAAATTATAATCCATTCTTCTTGTGGTTTACAAGCATTTATATTAAGGATATGGTATTGGTATTCTGGTTTTTAATGCAGGTTACTCAAGCAGAAGTTAAACTGTTCTTTGAGTCCATATGTGGAGAGGTTAGTGCCTGCCCTTTTGGTTTATCTGGAAGCATCGTTGCTTCTTCAAGTTCCTGCCTTTAACCCTTGGACTCCCATCTCTGCCACAGGTTCATCGTCTAAGGTTGCTGGGTGACTATCATCACTCAACTCGTATAGCTTTTGTTGAGTTTGTGATGGTAACCGCCATTTTCTTACTCATTTTGCTTTTAGTGGTTCTCCTCCACTGTGAACTCATTTCTCTTCTATCTTGCAACATGAATTCAGTTTCTCTTGCCTCTGCCTTATTTTCTTTTCACTTTCTGTGATTGATTCTCTTTTTTAGTTTGTGAAATTTATGCTCGGTTAAGTTTCAATTTTGATTCCCTTATGTGAAGCTTGCTTTTTTTTTTTGGGTGCGTGTCACTGAGGCTTGGATTTTGGGACAACTGTGTGGATAGAAATGATTCTCCTTTTGCTGGTTTTATGCCATCCTCTCTAAAAGTTGAAGCTGGATTATTCTAATTATGGTTTCACTATGTGCTATATTGATTTTTCTCCGGTGCCGTTGTGGTACAGCAAGCTGGCTCTCTCAGTGATGCGCATAAATGCTAGCTTGTAAGCTTGTGGCTAACATGAGTGTGACTTTAAAAAGCTGGCAATTTGGCTGTAGAAGTTGATGTTGGACTGGAAATGTCTAAGATTCTTCATGTCAATCTGCTTTAGGATCTGCTTGTCCACTTGTCCATAATAATAAAACTTCCTTCTTGATTGTCTGGCGAACTTTGAGACTGCCTAGATATACATTAGTTGTCTCAGTTAAAGGAAAGAGGAAGAGGTCTATTTTCTTGTTGGCGATTTCTTTCATCATCTCTTGCCTTAATAATATGCGTACAATCAGCTACCTGCCATTGCAGTCTAAAATCAGAAAGTGGTTTCTTTGGAGTGTGGTCTTCGTGAAGATTGGCTATATGGTTATCTGCTTATTCTGGATTTCATAGGTAGTGGTTTCAGTCACTTCCACTTATAATAACCCCATTAAGGCAGTAATCTCTGGATTTTAGTCTTTTCTTTGGATCTTGTCAATGCAGGAAGAACCATTAGTTGGTAAAATATACTTAAATTTTGTGTAGAATATTCAAAATAGGACCATAATTGTTGGTGTATATCTTGTATTTGTTTCTTCATGTTGGAATCGTCACATAAGATTTCAGGATACTGTTTTTGATGTTGTCATCACATTTTGGAATTCCTCTTTCAACTTACAGGGACTGATCAAATTGAAGTAGTACATTATTACGATTACTTTCTTTTCATGTCCATCTTAAAGCGTCAAGCTTGGAAGACAATAGTGGACATGCAAGATGCCTAATTTCTAGTTTAAGGAGACAAATTCAGTGGACAAACCTGATGTGACTTTGCTTGTGTAACTCTTAATTTCTGATTTGGTTTGGCTTAGTAGATAAATATTTGTGTATCGCACATGTAGCCTGCACACCATTTCTGACTGGAGTTGGATATTTGATTGAGAAGCGTTTCTTTGGATCAATAATGGGTTTGACCTTCTCTCTCAAAACACACATAATTCTTTGTATTTAAGAGAGAATGTACATGCAAACTGTACTAATCTCGTGATGATGGTAATTAGAAATTTAAGCTTCTGAAGTTTCACATTCTATCACTATTTTATTTTGGATTTTTTAATGAGGGAAAGCTTATTTGAGCTTAAGAGGAGAGAGAGTTTTTGGGGAATAATGAAAACATTGTTCTAGGGACGAAAAGATAACTTTCTTTGAATCCAGTCATGAGGTTGCTTGTAATGCATATTTAAAGATGACATCAAGATCAATTTTGATGCAGCCCCAAGAACTTGTCAAGAGAACTATATTAGTAACTACGTGTTCAGATTTTTCTTAGTTGATAAGCTGAGACATCAGAACAACTCGATCAAGTCTTGTCATCTTGGAAACCTTGATTGTGTGGACTGCTAAGCTGGATGTTAATGTTGTTTGGAACCTTGCTTACCTTAGTTAGCAGTGGTGGTGATGCTGCTTGTGTTTCCTGCGAAGGTCAGGAGTATGAACTGTGTTAGTCCACATTCTTTGTAAGGGAGGCTGGATGCTGAATTGAAACATCTTGGGCTTTTTTAAGAAATCAGTATTGGATAGGTATTATTGGTGGCTTTGGTGATTTAATCCATTATAACCTTGAACTATTTATCTTCTGATTGATCAAGTGGATGGAAAGATTCATTTGGATATGGCATATCATCAATCGAGGCCTCTAGTTTCCTAATAGTACTTTTTTGATTGCCTATTTGTGAGATTGCTGTGGTTATGTTACATTTTAATCCCTCATATTAATTAATGGTTTGTGAATAACTTCTTTGCTAGGATTTTGGCTTTTAAGCCTTTGCCCTTGTATAGTTCTCTAAGGAAGATATCTTTCTTGTCTCAGTGGCTACTATTGCTCATATTTGGCCACTGTCAAAGAATAGTTATGTAGTTGCAGAGGCTTCAGTACCTTGCAAAATTTTCAAGGTTTTGCTTTATTTGAGTTACCTTTCCTTGCCCAATTTCTGTGTGCCACCTTTCTGCTAGGTAGTTGACAAAACGTCTTTTGTGACGTGTATGGAATCATGCTACCATCTTCCATGACCAGTTAGTGATCTATTGTGGGGTGAAACGTGGATTTTCTGTCTTAGCTAAGACACCATGTTCTCAATTTGTGGAAACTTTTATGTCCTTTGGAATGGGGAGTGATGTTTCCTGAATATTTATGGAATTCTCTTCGTTTGCAGGCTGAGGCGCAATTGCAGCTCTGAACTGCAGTGGCGCAGTCTTGGTTCACTTCCGATAAGGTTGTTATCACGAGGCTTTCTGATTCTGAATTTGCTTTCCATCTTTTTGTCCTTTGTGTCTTTCTGAACTTTCCCTATTGTTGTTATCCATGCAGGGTAAGCCGTCAAAGATCCTGTTCGACGCGTGCTCCTCGCCCACCTATGCACTGAGTCCTTGGCATTGCTTTATGCTGATCTTCTGCTGATGAACATATATCTATATATATATATATATCTCCATATCTATATATATGCATACATAGATACAAACACATTTTAAGGTACTTTGTCACGTTTACGTTTATTAGTTTTGTTCATTGCATATGAGCTGGGTACCTCCCAGCCTCCCGGGGAAGGTATTGATCGTTGTCTGCTTTTAGCTTGTAGAGTTGGACGGGGTTGAATGGTGAAGTTGGTTTAATTATCATGTTACGTCCGTGGCCAGTGCAAAACTCTTTGATGTTTCTAACTCAAAGATCCATGATTTAATCTTACAAGCTTCTTTCATTGTTTATCAATGGCCAGCCTCTCGTTTGTGGTCTTTATGTTTGTCTCCTCAAAGTTTGATGGTTAACGAGAGAGGTGAATATTGGGATCACTTCAATCACAGAAGAAGTCTCGTTTCTGTGCCAGAAACCTGTTATGGCGTGGCTGGTTTTGGACGACTTAAATGGACAGGACAGGTGTACTTCATTGTTGTTGTAAACTAACAAAACGTGACACATAAATAATAGCCTTGCCGCATCCCTCGGAAATGGGCTTGCTGTCGGTACCGGGCCCAATTCTTTAGGGCGTCAGAATTCCATCGATGACCCTCGGGCTATTTTTCCCGTTATTTTTATATATTTTGTTTCTTTCTTTTTCTTATAGTTCAATCACGATGTAAATAACTTTTTTTATCTCACAAATGTGTAGTATTTTAATAAGTTTTATGGAAATTTTATTCTTAAAAGAATCCAAAAAACATAATAATGCCACAAAATATCGAAGGCTGAAATAGCTTTGCCTCGTTGAATCTGCGGCGGCGGTGGGCTACAATGGACATATGTATGTTTTTTAACTGGCAAAAGGAGGAAATAGACGAGAGGGAGCCCAATAGTGACGGTGGATTGAAACACGGGCCTTTAATTGCATAGTGCCGGAATTCTCAATTAGTTGATGAACTATTTTTTAATGATTAAACGCAATTTCTCACGAAAGGAGATTGACATCCTACAGCTGTTTTTTTTTTGGCTCGAGGATCCAAATGGGAAAATCTTTTGGGGTAAAACCTCTTTAAGTTTATCTTTCTTTGAACACCTATTGTATTGAATAAGAAACTAAGACAGACTATGAGTGAGGGGTGAACTTTCAAATCAAATAAGTGCACTGTTATACTCTTTAACGTAAGAAACTCTCCCTCACAGGTCATTAAACCAAAGACCAATGGTTGGACTTAGCCAAGTTGGAGTTTTAACACTTTGTGATAAATAAATAACACTTGGAGTGAGGTCAGGCTTCTCTTCTTGTAAACTTTTTTTTCAAGTAAATAAATAAATAAAAAGAAGAAAAAATTCATTTCTTCATGATATTGGTTGCAATATCATGATATTGACTCTTATTTCATTTGGTGCATTTTATGCAAAAGTTTTTAGAAATATAAAAGTATAACATGTTTTGAAATGTAATACATGTGAGATAAAAAATGATTTTAAAATGTTTAAATGCAAAGTTTAAAAAATTAGGAATTAATTGACCATAATTGAGACTAGGAGAAAAAAAAACGAAAATATGACTGTCTCCAAATAACATGCTACGAATTGAATTTTATTCTCAAGTATAAAGAAAAAGCTGTTCAAAATGTCCCTTGTATTTTGCCAAATGAATTTTGTCCTCCAACACGCCCAAACTTGTTTGCTTCAAACCCGAGAATGACGAGGAGTCCACGCCACGGGCTCAAGGCCCAGCTTAGAAGTACTATAAGATTGACCTCGCTTGCATTAACTTATTCTTTATTAATTAGTATTGCAACCCGTGCAATGCACGGATTAACGTTTACTATAATAATAATAGTAAATAAATTATTTATATTAATTACAAGAAAAAAGATTAAAAAATCAAAAGCGTACTATTTTAGCATCTAATTTATATTGTATTTATATACCTTATCTAAAACTTTAACATATACTAAAAAATATGAACAAAGTCACAAAAATATTTAAAAAAAAAATACTTTTTTCTTTTTTTATTTAAAAAAAAATACTAAAAGCACACCAAACAAAAAATGTTACCCTTCCCTACCATGTTCTCTTTTTTTTGCGCCACTTCTCATTAACTTTTTCCTATTTTTCATTATCCTCTCCCTCATCTTTTTAACCCAAACTTTTCATATCCCTCCAACTCTTCTCTCTCCTACAAACTCTACCTTTTCTTTCATTCTACCTTGCTTTTATCAAATTATGTAATCTCTTACCGAATTTTACACCTTATTTACCTTATATCCTATTACTCTTCATATATAGTTGTAAACAATGACCAATTTTTCAACTTGCTCTTCAACAAATGAGTATGGATATACAATTTTATTAACTTTAAATAGGTAACCCAATCAAACTCATTAATTAGTGGCTATTAAATAGATAGATTGAGACAACCTATTTGGACCTAATTAAATTAGACTTAAATTCAAATTCATTAGTAACAAATTCAATAATTATATTATACTTTTTGCAAAGGCATGCTTAACATTCTTTTCATGTTTTTTAATTTTTGTTAAATTTTATCCTACTTCATCCCTCCCTTCTTTCAAAGTATAAATTGATTTATTGCATTCATGCCTAAATTATTTGAGATTTTTGTAGAGTGATAAAATTAAAACTCCTTATGATCACCACTATGGATTTATCTGTGTAATTTTTTAGGTAAAAATTTATTTATTAATGCAATGTGTTCTTATTTTTGTTGATTACAACAATATATTATTTTGTTGCTCAAATAAGATGGGAGAATAAATAAATAAAATTTTGCAGTGGATTGTAAATGGGTAAGATAAACAAAATCACATAAAATTATGTTCATTTAACCCACATAAATCATCCATTTTGATAGTTTCATCTCAACTCACAACTATAGCTTCCTTGATTTTACCCTCCCAAATCCTATACTTCTATCTTTATACCCTTTTTGTGACGACCCCACTTCTCCCAATGGCGAACCCAAGGGTATCGGCGGGCCGCCTGCCTAGCTCGCGCCAGGACTCAAAACTTAAAGCAATCAAACGAGATAGATCGAAAGAGCACTATATACAATATATACAATCCCAAAAGTTATATTTACATCTTCAAAAGTCTCGAGTCAAACCACTCTAATACACTATAACCACAACCAGCAGAAGATAGACCCTAAGAAGGGTCCTTATACAAACCACCAAAACAAAAACAAACATCCTAACTGTCCAACTATTACAAACAAACTTAATTACACTAGTGTAAGTGCCAAAATCCCCGCGTCGGCCCCTGTTAAGGAAAACAAAAGGAATGGGGTAAGCTGGAAGCTTAGTAAGTAAACAGGGGCGAAAGCATAAATTCACGTAGCAACAATTACACAATAAGAGTAAAGCAAAAGCAGAAAAGAACAACATCATATAATAAGGATACGGGTGGCTCCAAAGCCAATTCATGTGCCATGTATGATCTCCTGCCGACACTCCGTCGACCGCAAATAATAGTCCGTAGAACTTCACTTGTACACCCACCGACACCTTATCACCCTCACTGGCCAGTCACCTCACAAACTTGCCCGGGCGAACGAAATCACAAACTTGAGCTTAAGTCACAAACTCGGGTCACAAACTTGGTCACCTTCTCGGTGAACCGGATTCACAAAATTGGTTCATAACATGAACCTACAAACTTGGTGACCTCAGACCAAGTTGGACTGACTTCGACCAACCCTAACCGGCTCGAATAGTCCAACCAGGTCAAGAGTTCGCCCCAAACTCACAAACTTCACAAAATTATTCAAAATCACAAACTTTGCAAACTTCACAAACTTTACTCGAAAGTCGCCCCGAGCCACAAGCTCAAGGGTTTTGGTTCCAAAAGGTTCATATACATATGCCAAGTACAATTATACATTCAAATTAGGGTTTAGGTCGAGTGCGATAAAGTACACCCTCGCCTAAGTGCCCTTTTCACATATCTCAAACACATAGCAAAGAAAACACATCAAACGGCCTGAATACTTACTCAAAATACCAAAAGTAGTACGAAAGCAAAATCGCTTCGCGCGTTCGCTAGTAGTGGGCCCCACCGGCTCCGCCTAACTCACCGCTGTCTGAAATAGAAGATTTTATCACAAACGGCCACTAACATGCCCAAAACAAGCAAAACGGCAAAACAACACGCGCGCACGTAAATATGACGGACGGAAACGGAAACGGCAGATTTGATACTCATTTCTAGTTTACTCATAAGTTGAGCTACGAATATCGGATTAAGGCGTATGAGATGCCAAATCGAAGCTTAAAGGATGAACAACAACTGTTATGAAGACATCCAGAACTGAAACTGGAGGCTTCAGTCCCAAATGAACCAAACACAATCACTTACGAAATCTGGCCAATGCACAAATGGTCAGTTGAGTGCGAACTGTTTTCTATGCTACACATGGTCAAAAGAGCTGAAAATTGGCAGTTAGATAGTTCATTCCAAATGGAACAACTTTCATGAAGGTCGGCAATCAAAATTCGGAACGGAAATTGGTCATCAGGACCAAAACAGATCTGACCAGAGAATGGTCATCTTCACGGGCAGGCCTTATTTGCTCGGCTATATCTCAGGTCTTATAAATCCGATTCCTGAAATTCCAAGGGTGTTAGAAAGCTCTGATATAGGGCTATAAGTTTGGTGTTTTGGTCGCGAGCCCAAACAGCTTGTAACCCAGTCAAATGTGAAGCCAAAGTTCCAGTCATAAACTGTCCAAAAACGTAACAGAATTTGACGGTCAAAACAGGTCTGAGTATTTCATTTATAGCTCAGGATATACTAATCCGTTTAATCTGAAAATTTACAGGGATATCCAGGACTTAAGGGGCTACAATGTTGAAGAAGGAAACTTTGTCCAATTTTGAATGTAACAAGGTCAAAAATGCAAGACACTATACCAGAATTGCAAAACAGGATCACAAACCGTATTTGACCTTAATATGCGGTAATGCACCAAATTCACTACGGTTATCGGATGGGGGTGTAAGACCCACCGTTTCGAAGCTAAGAAACAGGGCTACAACAATGTAGAAGGTCACTCAGTCCAAATCCTAACACAACTAGGTCAAAATGCAGAATACCAAATCCAGAACCGTAATTGCAGGTTCCCAAATCGCACTATGCTGTAATGAACACAACTCAGCCTATACAGGTCCAAATGCCGAAATTCCAAAGGCATATGTTAGCTAAGACATCCAGCTACATTTCATCAGAAGACACCAACTTCAAAATCCAAACCAATTCCAGTCAAAACAAACGATTACAAGCGCAGTTTTCACATTCTGAGCAACCCAGAACAGCAACAGTAAAATCGACATATCTCACTCTACACTAGTCCAAATGACCTGAAATTTTACAGGCACTTCAAACACATCAATACCTACAACTTTCATGTTTTAAGCCAAGGCCAATTCGGTCTCTAACATGGTGCAATAAATTCGGGCAGAATGTAGCTTCATGAACCCTAACTTTCCAAAATTTATTCAAATCCAAAATTGGTTGCAAATATCAATCATTTCCATCCACTAGAGTCATAACCCCTCATTATCAATCATCATAAACAACCACAACACCATAATCCAATTAAACCAGAAAAATCATCAATAAAATCAAAACTTCACCAAATCACTTCAAACCAAGATAAAACCAGAAATTTCAGCACTTTAATCACTACTAATCATATCTTAAGCATCAATAGGTGTAGGTGGAAGTTTAAGCTTCACTTACCAAGTAAACAAGAGAGGGGAAGATGTTGGACACCTTAGCTCTTCCAAAAAATTTCACTAAAACACTCACTAGCACCAAATGGAGGAATTTGTGGAGTAGAAACTAGCTTAAGCACTTGAGTTGGATGATTTGAGCTTGTTGGAAGCTAAAATGGTGAAGAGCTCTCTTCCTTTCTTCCTTAAGGTTGGTCGGCCAAAGAAGAGAAAGAAATGGTGATTTTGTGGTAAATTTTAAGATATTTAACCTTTGGTCAAAAAAAGTCAAAAATGTGAATAGTGTTTCTTAAAGTCCAACCAATGAGAAAGTGACACTTGTCACCTCATTAATGCAATCCTATCCTTTCTTTTCTCTCTCACATCAATCATTTCACACACTCTACTTATCTCTTAACACCCGATAAATTTTACACAGTATCCGGAATTTAACCTAATTGGCCGAATTTTTCGAACTTTTCGCACTAGTGGGTCCCACGTCCAATATACGTTCTTATTTTCTCAAAATCTAACCGATACTAGAAAAATCATCTAAAAACTCTATTTACTCATAAAAATTATCTGGGAAACTTTCTAATAACGAAAATATCAAAAGACGGGTGAACAATCAAACTCCACTTAAGCTTTCTACTAAAATGAACTAGGGTTTTCAATCCTAATCGAGGTTAGGGTTTTCTCCTTAGCCTTAAAACCCTAATTCCACCCCACCGATCAATGAATAACCCTCATATCAGCTTACGAACGGACTGGGGTCTCACACTTTTTACTACTTAGGATTCATTACCCTATTTTTACCTTTCTCGGCCCTATACTTCAATCTTTCTATTTATTTTATCATTTAGAATTCATTATCTCACTTTTCAATTTTTTTTTCCAAATAAAGAGTTAGAATTATGAAGGAAAAATAATTAGGCATAACTTTGGTGAAATACTACTATTTCTTGTGATAATCACCCAAGATAATCGTTTAAACAAATATTTGTTTTAAAATTTGTTATATACACTCCAAAAAACAAACATCTAAATGCCCTTTTTATTAATTTATAATTCATATCAAAATTTTGTTTTATGTGCACTTTCTGATGTACGTGTTATATGTGAAATTATTCAAATGTAATTTTGTGCATGTAAAAAATTATCTAGGTGACGTTGTATGTCAGAATGTTTATTTCATTGGTTGGAATCATCATCTAATAAGATAAGTTTAAAACTAAAAAAATTAATTTAGTTGCAGAAGGTAAAATGATTAAAGAATAGCTATAATTGGATATGTTATTTGAATGCTTGACAAATCTATGTATATACTTGGAAGTAGAGGTGCAAACGAACCGAGTTCGAGTCGAGCTTTGGCTAATCGAGCCGAGCTCGAGTTAATTTTGTGAAACTCGAGCTCGACGAGCTCAAAATATCGAGATCGAGTCAAATTCGAGTCGAGCTCGAGCTTAAAAAATAAAAATAATTATTTATTTTAAAAAATAAAAATAATTATTTTATTTTAAAAAATAAAAATAAATATTTATTTTTAAAAATGAATAAAATAATAATTTTTTAATAAATAATAAAATATTATGAATATATATGTAATTTTACTATTAAAATAAAAAAAAAATATATATATAATTAAGCTCGCGAGCCAACGAGTTTAATGTTTTTGAGTTCGAGCTCGAGATCGACTTAATTAGCTCGATTTCGACTCGAACTCGATATTGACGAGCTCGAGTCGAGCTCGTATTCGAGCCGTTCGTGATCGGCTCGATTCGCGAAACACCCCTACTTGGAAGTACAGCGCTAAAAATGTTACTATATAAATTATTAAAAAATGAGACTAATCATATTATTCCCCAGATTTGACAAATCAATATTGTTAATCATGGAATAAAATGGGCCAAAGTGATAAAGTTGCAAGGGGGGTGAATGATTTTAACATGAAACTAATCAAATATCCAAAATTATTTTCTTTACTTATGGAAGAAAAAAGGATATAAGTTTGAAAACAAACTATAAATGATTTATTAAGCAATCATTTTAAGTGGGAAAGAAAGTTTTAAATTTTAAATTTGAATTGTTATAGGATTAGTTGTAAATCACGCTATTTCAAAAATTTTAATTGAATTTATATATTAAAATAAATAAAAAATTAAAAAAAAAGTATGGAAGATTTGGAAGACATCGGGACGCCTTCATTAAAACCTCTATATAGATTTGCCGCATCAGCCCCTCGAGAAATCTTGGGTCTTTTTGCCCGTGCGAGTGGAGAGGAGGCTCTGAACTTAAAACTGGAGCGTCCAAGCTAGCTGGAGGAAGAAGAAGACAAGCCCTGCTGGCTGGCTGCTCAAATCTGAGACCTATGCCATGTTGAGTTCTCTTTCTACCTCCTCCTGTGTTGTCGTATGCAGGCAACCCCTGAAAAAGATCTCAATTTCTGTGGCGTCCACGAGTTGGAGGCCATTTTATATCAGGTTCTTTCAAACTATTTTCTTAGTTATTTCTCTCACTGCCTTGTGAAACACTATGACTTCTTTTGTTTCGGGAAGCTAGGCCTTGGATTGCGTTTTTCTGGTTCTTAAAATTTTGAGGTTTAAGCATGAAATTCCTTTGCAACCTTTTTCTTGAGTTAAATCGACTGTAGAACGTGTGTACGCTCTGTTGACATATGGGAATTGTTTTGTTTGAGCGCTACGAATATTATGAACATTCTGCTTTATTATCCAAATGCAACTATTTCAGTATTTTGCACTTAAGAGATATCTGTTCCAAGTATTGCAGGCAGGACCTTTGTTCAGGAGATAAAAGTTTTATGTTAAACTTGCAAGGTGGACTTTGTGGATTTTTACCACAGCTAATGTTTTTTATAAGTTTAATAGGCATGAACCAGTTTATTCAATATTATAAAAATAAAATAAAAGATCGTGTCTAGGTTGGTATTTAGTTGATTATCCACAATAGTTATCGAGTCATCTAATGGTGTAAAATTATAGAATAGTTAATAATACACGTAAACTATAAGACGTAGTTTCTGATATATACAATAAACAATTAATTTGTATTTAGTCAAACGAATAATTAGTTTGCTTGTAATTCATATGGTTAGACATATAAGTGGAGTTCAATATTAAGCAAATAAGATTTATTTGAATGGAAATACAAATAGCACCATGTTTTGTTTTATGGTTCCATCATAGAAATGGTGAGGGCAGCTGTAAAAAATTTCTTACTTTCGAGGGCAATGGTGGAAGAACCAGATAGAATATTTTGAAATTCCTCCCCCCGGGGGGGGGGGTTGGGGGAGAGTGGGGCAATTACAAAAACTCTAAACTTTGTATAGGTTTGTATGGGTTGTTCTATAGCTTTTAAAATATTGAGGTGAAGGCAATATGGCTCCACCCCTGACTGCAAGGTTGAGATATGTCTTAGCCAGAAAAAAAATGGAAATGACTACATCTGTATGGAGCAATAGAAAAAAAGATTGAGATGTGTCTGTAGTATGTAGCTTGTGTGGATACCTTTTATCTTGGTTAATTGGTCCATAACCGACGCATCATGATTTATTACTTCAGGACTCATTCTCGATCTCCTCTGCGAGTTCTTGTTTGCTGGGCAAAATATGGTGAGCTACTGAAACTTCTTACCTCTTTCTACATGACACCACCATCAAATAGGCTAATTCATCCTTGGTTTACTTGCATGAATATGTTAGTTCATCATTGACAGAAGAACATTCTTATATTGGTTTCATTAGCCGCTGAATCTGGAGTAGATGGATCATTCAGTTTGAGGATGGTGCCTCCTAGCCTGTTTGCTGCAGAAAAAGAAGAAGCCAAGGCTGTACTGACACTATTCTTAAAGAAGCAAGGGTTGAGCAGTGCACTGGCTGCTCGAGTAATTAATAAGTCAGATGCTTTTGTTGATCACCTTGTCTCGCAACTTCATTCTGTTCACAAATCTCGCTACCTAGTAGGTTCGATCTTAATGTTGTTATTGCTTCTTTAAAACGAAATTGGTTCAGTTCTCCAGTGCATGGAGAACTGTCTTCAGTCTCCCAAACTAATTTTCCTTGACACTGCAGGACGAGAACTTACAACTCTTGAGATCAGGGATGCTCTTATTCCTTACCTTGAAACCCTCCTTGAGGAATATGGAGGAATCCTGGTGGATGTGGTAGAAAACTTCCCAAACCCACCTGTGAAAGAAAGTATAGAAGCAAATTATCAAAACCCAATTACTGAAGAAAATTTGGATACATTAGTTTCTCCCTCTAATGCCATCCTTGATAGCAAGAAGCTGAAAGCCTTGGCTCGGGTAAGTGAGATTAGCCCAGCGGGAAAGTTTCCTGCACATGTTTGCTATCTAGTTGAGCTTGGAATGGACCTGAAGGCAATTAGGGAGGTAATACGCAAATTCCCGGCTTTTGCCTACTATAGTTTGGACAGAAAAATCAAACCACTGGTTGAGTTCCTTCTTGATCTTGGCATATTGAAATCAGATATTCCAACCATCATTAGCAAAAGGCCTCAACTTTGTGGGATTAGTCTCTCTGAAAATTTAATCCCCACCATGGCATTTTTGGAGAACCTAGGGGTGGATAAAAGGCAGTGGCCAAAAGTTATATACCGCTTTCCTGCCCTTCTTACTTACAGCAGGTCAAAACTGAAAGGAACTGTTGATTTTCTTTATGAGGTTGGTCTCTCGGCTGAAAATGTGGGTAAGGTTCTAACTCGTTGCCCAAACATTATAAGTTACAGTGTTGAGGATAAGCTACGGCCTACAGTTGAATACTTCAGCTCATTGGGGATTGATGTTGCGCATCTTCTTCAACGGTCTCCTCAAACATTTGGACTTAGCATAGAAGCTAACTTAAAGCCTTTGACAGAATTCTTTCTGGAAAGGGTTATAGCATAGAGGATGTGAGAACCATGATTTTCTAGATATGGCTCTGTATACTTTTAGCGTGGCAGAGAACTTGGTCCCCAAGTGGGAGTTCTTTCTTACTATGGACTATCCCAAGTCAGAGCTGGTTAAGTTCCCTCAGTATTTTGGTTACAGCTTAGAAGTTAGAATAAAACCTCGATACGCAATTGTGAAGGAGCATGGGGTTAGGTTACTACTGAATCAAGTGTTATCGCTCTCTGGTCCCGAGTTTGATAAGGCTTTGAGGAGAAAAGTGAAGAAGAAGCATAACAACTAGTATTCTCGTTGATTGGAAGGAAGACCTCAAATGGACTGTATATAACATCTTATTGCTAACTTCCACCTTTTATGGTCTTGAAGACAGACTTGCCGCACCATGTACATCATGCATGCTTTAAGAGATGATCGAAATAGCAATAAGCATATGCTTGTCCAGGTTGAATGTTGAAGCAAGGAAGGAAATAATGCAACAGCTAAGTCTCCTTCCCCTCCCTATTAACGTCTTGTTACTTTTTTAGGCCTTGAAGGTGCAAGACGTAATTTGGAAATGCGAAAAGTTGTATGTTGTGAAAGGGAAATAACATTTTCACGACTGCATTTTTAATTTTTGAATTGCTGGAGCTGCTATTGTGTGTGCGTCCAAAGTCCCTGTATGCTTAGATATTTGCCTTTTTCGTTTGCTCTTATAAGCTACGGCTGTGTCATTCACGTGTATCTAAGTGCAAAGGAATAACAATTAAAGAGTGAAAGACTACACATAACATCAGTGGGCTATTTTACTGGACGGAATTGAGAACTCAATGTGCGGAGATATTTTTGTTCAGGATTTGATAATAGTCGTTGCATTATTAGAAATGTTGGAATTTATTCCCTTCTGTTCGGTTATAATAGCAATGTTGCACTCAAGTTGCAGCAACCTCAGTTTTTCTCCGTGCTTCCTGAATCAGATAAGTTCATCAGAAAAGATTGTATTCTCTCCTCTGGAGGACTAGGTGCTTTTTCCCCTTAATTTCCTGTGAAAATTTACACTTTTTAAGTATCCACTCTGATGATTGACGTTATAAGGATGCTTATGTGATAAAACTCTGGAACTAAGGTAGCCCAAAATATGTTTCCTGAATGAGTTTCTACTCTCTGCACAAAAGTCCCTGTCGAGGAATTTAGCTCGATTTATGTGGACAAATAGTGAATGTGTTCTTTTTGTTGATCGGACAGTTCTTGATGTCTTCGTTATCCAGGAAGGACTTGGATCAAGCGGAGGAGGAGCAAGTTATCGGCGGCGATATTGTAGATAACAAACCTGCATACTTTTTACTTTTTGTACATGCTAAAAAGTACAGCAGTGTGCATGCCATGGTAGTAGTTACACGCAGATATCCAAAACTTGAACCACCTCCGCTGACTATTACACCTTTCCAGTAGTATATCACTAGTAATAGCACATGATTGGCAACCACGTACAATAAACACGACACCTGAAGCTTTTCATTTGATCTCTACGTCAACGACCTTTCTCTCCACCTGTCTCTTAGGAATGGAAATGTAAAGAACTCCATCCTTGAGTTCTGCTTTAACTTTGTCGGGCTCAGACTCTTGTGGGAGTCGGAGCCGAGTGTCATATGAACTGTAACTCCGGCGAGTCCATGCATCATCGTCTTTTCGGTCTTCCTTGCTGCGCTCGCCTCTGATAACGAGGATATCATCATCCTCCACGGAGACTTTGACGTCTTCCTTGGAGAGTCCAGGCATGTCAAAGCGCATCTTTATTTCACGTTCATCTTCGTGAATGTCCCAGGGGGAGCGAACCTGCCCCCCTGCCGCCCCCTCGTTAATTCCCATTCCGGGGAATGTCACGGCGTCGTCAAATAATCTATCCATCGTGTCCAGCAATTGGCGCATGGTTCTCTTGGGAGATAGCGGATCGCGAAAAACCTGTTTAAGTTGTTAACCACAGAAGGCAGGGAATCAAACCAGAAAGGGAAAGAGAGAGAGAGAGAGAGAGATTAGTTTCCTTTCCCCCTTTTAAACTTTTACAAGAAGGCCAAGGGTGAAACAGGGAATCATGCGGTAGCAGTAGTACTACTTACCGAAGGGGGAGATGTCAACGGGGCCAACCTGCGAGGCCTTCTTTGGACGGCCGGGGTGTCCTGATTTTTGGGTTGGCTACTGACATGTTGCACGTCCGAGCGCGGCATCTTTATGGTCGGCCGTTGGCCTGAACTCTCACAAGAGAGAGTCTGGATGGACTCTATGACTCTAAATGGCGCAGGGGATGGAAAGAACACAGAACCGAAGGAGCAGTGGCTAGTCTTTGAAGACCTAGCGGCAGGAGCGGGGTTGTTATGGCGTGCCAGGGGAGAAGAAGAACATGCAAGAATCTTGGTAGCCATTAAAAGTTCGCAGTTCAAAAGAAACTGAAGAAATGGGAAGTGATAGTGAGCTCTTTTTTATATTTTTTATCAGGCAATCAAGTTGGACCTTGTTTTCTTCTACTTTGGCTGAGGATGAAGGGGAGGGGAAGGTAAACAAATTTTATAGCGGGGAATGAGAAGAATATCGAGGAATCTTGAGATACTTGAGAATTCAGAGTTGATTAGATGGACATGAATGAAGACTCTGGACTCCCGTGTCCAGCTTCTTTGTCACCTTGTCCACGTAATAAAAATTTTATGAAATCACGTTCCTTCGCGAATAATCGGACGATTAACGTCGAGGGACACCAGGCTCTTCCCCTTTGTCTTGTAATCTATTTTCGTCGTAGTCAAACGTATTATCATTATTTCTTTTTCAGGCCCTTTATTCCTTAACCGTTGCTTTAAACTTGTCTAAGCCATTTGTTAAACTTTTCAGCCGTTTTCTTTTGGTACCGCTCGAGCCAACGCTTGACGCATCTAAATCCACTAAGTATGTCTGGAGGAGCGCACTGGAGTCTCTCTCTATTTTTTATAATATATGTATCCAAATGTACGGGATATGTGTTTTCATTTAGGATAATTTCAGAAACCTCCCTTGAGATTTCAAACAATTTCACTTGGCTGCCTTCAAGCTTAATAAATTACAGGTAGAATTTATTCTCTGCTTTTGAGATGTTAATATTTTTCAGGTCATAAGATATTTGTAATGGTGGTTTTAGGTTATATTAGCTTGTATTGAAAAGGTATTTGAGTATTGAGATTTAATTTTGGGGTATAAAAGTGGCTATCAATGGTATGTGTCTGTGTTTGTGTATTTTTTTGTGTTCGTATCTTTGCTTTTTTGCATGGCAAGCATTCATGTTGTATATGCAATTTGAGATCTTTTAAATAGTTATTTAGATTTGAAACTTATGGTTGGATGGTTGTTAAGAATTGGGTTTGTTGATTTGTGTAAAATGTGGAAGAAAATGATTGAATATACTATGTTTTTCTTTCTTAGTTTTGTGGAAAAGGACAATTTAGGATTTTTGAGAAAAAAATCTAGCTTGTTGGACTTACATTGTTATATAAATAGTAAAAGTAAGGTAGGTATATGTAATTTTTAAAACTTTAGGGGAGCTCTCTGCAATTATTAAAAACTTTAGGGGAGATTTGTGAAATTATTCCTTTCATTTATTAATAAAAGTTAGGATTAATCAAACAAAAAAGATCTTTTTTTAATAAATGAAGACATTTGTCATGCATTTAAATGTGCATTGTAAGAAATGAAGAGAAAATACACTGAAGAGAAGCATTCGTTGAATATAGCAGTGGTTCAAGGATCAATGCATATATGTAATGATATCCATTAATTCCGAACCAGGCAGAATGGCGGAATGCTATTTTCCTTGTTAAGTGTCTAATTTAGAATGCAGTGGCCTCATTTCCTTTCTTTCTTTCTTTTTTTTTTCTTACTCTTAGGAAAGCCTGGAACTTTCAAGTAGGATAATTTCTCCCTCCTATTTAAACTCTACATGTGTGGCAACTTGCAAGGGTAGGGGTGATGAAAGTTGATAGAGAGTAGCTCGCGACCAATTTGATCAACAACTTGATTCGAAACTCGTCATTGAGTACATGAATTTTGTTTAGGCTTGAACGAGATTTTGAATCAAACTTTGGAATTAAGCCACAATTTTATCGAGTCGAGTTCGAATTTCGCCTTAAATACTCATTCAAATTCTATTTGGAACTTGAATATCTCGGAAAAATATCGAATTCAAGCTCGTGCACACCCTTAGGCAAATGATAAACAAGTAATAGAAAAAGTCAAATCCCGACTATGGACTCATTCAATAATACATCCGTTTATATTTTTTGTCCTCCTGCTTGGCCAATCCCTCAAAGTGATCCCCAGCCAACCCGATTTTGCATGAACCTTCAACCAGCACTGCTAGTGCAACTTTAGTTATTTAGGCATTGCAGTTGCAGGTCATTTATTTGGAAAATCCCCAAGAATCGCACTAGCATTGGTTTCCAAGCCCTTCATCATCTCATAGCACGTGCAGCAGAATTTTTCAGTTTTTGTATTTTTCAGAGCCACAAAGGAAAGCGTTCGTTCATGCTGTGATGTTTCTCTCACAGCTTTCAGCAGTATCGAGGAGAACAGGCATTCTTTCTTTCGTGTTTGACGAGTAGGTAACATTACACTGTGAGTGCTTTGCAGTTTGCATGCCACAGCGGGCAGTCGACAATTTTCTGCTTTCGCAGCTGGCCAATTATTAAAGTTGCAATATGCAAATTCCGTTCCTATATACCGGGGACTGCAATTCTTTTCGCTCGCTGGATCTTGTTTCCTTCGGAGCCCATAGATTCCCTCCATTGGACCAGTAAACTTCTTCAAATTACAAACTCTGCATGGGGAAGATTGGAGGAACTTCTTGGTTAAACGTGGTGAAAAAGGCTTTCACATCTCCTGCAAAAGACCGACACCAAGATGAGAAGAAGAGCGGCAAAAGAAGGGATCAGGAACATGACCAACAAGAAGAAGAAAAGGTAAACAATAATATTAGATTAGATCTCATACAAGCTTGACGGAGGTCAAAGTAAATGGTGATTGCAGAGTTAAAATCAAGTGCTTTTCTTATTTTCTTGTTTCTTCTCAGAAGAGGGGAAAACGAAGATGGATTTTCCAGAAGCCTTGGTCTTGCGAAACAACAATACAGCGTGATGAAACCCAAAAAATGAACTTGGCCTCAAATGCATCAGCCAATATGTCGGGCGCAAATCTGGCAGGGACTTCTGCACCAGAGATGGCCCAGCAACAATGTGCAATTGGTGTGGCTATGGCAACAAAAGTGGCTACTGAAGCAGCAGTTGCGACGGCAGAGGCCGCTGCAGAAATTTTGAGGCTTACTAGGCCTTCCATTTCAGATGGACAGCGGCGCGCAGCTATTTTAATTCAATCAGCCTTCAGAGGGTATTTGGTAATCTACTACTCCCATCTTGCACGTTCTTGGTAGTTCAGAAACTAAAGCAAGAGCTGATGAATATATTCCTGTTTTTAGGCAAGACGGGCACTACTTGCACTTAAAGGGCTTGTAAAGCTGCAAGCCTTAGTAAGAGGCCATAATGTCCGCGAACGAGCAAAGATGACACTCCAATGCATGCAAGCTCTTATCCGCTTGCAAGCTCAAGCGTGTGATCAACGAAAGAGGCTATCATGTGAAGGATATATTTTTCGTAGTGATGCTAACAGCAAATGGGGACCTCTTACCACGGCCAAGAAGGTTAATGTGATTCCTAAGAGATGTCAATAAAATCCTCTCATGCTCCTGTTGCTTTGAGATATTGATTAGCTCTTCCATAACTCTGCGTGCAGTCCAGGGATGCAAGGGGTTCAGTTGATGGTCAATACCCACCGCCAATGTACATCCATGACCTGTTGCAGGAAACAGAAGAGGTTGCTTCAAAACCTGGAATGCATCTTTCTCGGGCCTTCTCTCGACAGGTTTGATCTATTTCTGTTTTTTTCTCAACATTTTTTTTTTTCATCTTTTGGTACGACATTCTTCAGCTGAAAGTCTTAAACAATGCATCTTACCTCTCAATACTTTCAAAAAAGAAACCTCTAATGTTGTCACGAATAGATGTGGAAAACTGGCAAAGCTCAAATTTCAGTGGACAAAGCAGCATATGAAGAGAACCCCATATTATACGAGTCATTTGACAGGATAAGAAAGCAGCCCAAGGAAATCAGCAGAGCCTCGTGTGATGAAAACGATTCCGTTAACATTGTTGAAATGGACAGCAGCATCCGACCTTGCACTTATACAGCTCAGAATCTCCCAACAAGACAAGCTTGCAATTACCAGGACTGTCGACACTGGCCATCCTCTTACACAACTTCATCTCCTCTCCATAGGATGTCCGAGTTGTCCATCCAACCACCTGTTCCTCAATCCCCAGTGAGAATAAAACCTCTCAAAATGCAGTCAGCTAGCCCACGTTGCCAAAGAGAAGAGATACAGTCCAGCAGCTCACACTCCAACTTGCTCCAACTTCTCTGTTCCTGCACATAAACCAAAGTACATGGCAGCCACGGCATCAACAAATGCTCGAGCTCGGTCATTAAGTACGCCAAGACAAAGGCCTTCAACCCCTCAGACTGAAAAGAAGGGATCAGCGAAGAAACGACTGCTATTCACAGCTCCAGATCCATACAGCGATGTAGATATTACTCCCAGATGGCATCACTCGTCGAAGAACCCCATATGTACCAACACTGTGACCTGTGTTCTTGAGGATCAGCAGAGGTCATAGATGTGTTCTTGATGCACTGACGAGCTGAGAGACCTCTCCAACTGATGGAAGTAAGGAGATAGCTCAGATCAGCTGATCAAAGCCGCCAAAATAACATGCAGGGAGAAGAGTTCAGACAACTGCAACTTTAGTTGATCAACAAAAGCGCGAGTCATTGATTTTCGAATTGAGAGTGTCAAAGATTTTCTGCAAGTAGTTTGGGGATGCATGTACAACTGAGCACAAAGTAAGTATTAGGCCTGTTACTGTTAGCACTCATAAACTTCTCGATTCTAGTTAATTGTAGCTTTAGACTTTAGAGAGTGACATGTGAATTCGTTGAATTCCTAACAAACCAAAGTTGTTAGACGCATTGTTCTCAACCTTATTCCACAATAAGTATTAATCTTCACGGGATGAACCAGCCAAATGATGATTAACCTGATGTCTCGAATTCAGATCCTGAAGAGGTTGAAGTTTCATAGAAGAATTTAGTACAGGCATCCACACTAGTCTGCAGCAAAGTTTGAAGTTTATCCTCCTCAAACTTTTGACCACCAAGTTTCCTCGATAGCAAGCCAGAAGGTTAATAAGTAGAAATTGCGAATTAATTAAACAATCCATATTCAGGTGTGATCTTGGAACCTCGTAGTCGGAGTGGAAAGCAGTAGCATGCAACGCTCAAATGTCTTAAAAGTAGTACAATGGAAATGCAATCCGGCCACAGGGCAAGTGATTCGCAATCAGAATAGTCAAATGGACGAATATGCAAATTGTGTCGTTCGAATTTAATTAATTTAGACTTGTAGCAGTCGATAGAAGTTTTGGTATGGTAGACGACGATCTTTCACTTTCAGTTCTCTTTTTCGTCTTGCCCAGAAAATATCATCATCATTTCCATAAAACAGAGAATCAGAATAGAAAAATAAACAGATGCTGGAACGATTCTATTATTCACGGCACACCTAACGGTGTCCTTGAGAAACCATCACCAGTTGACAGCCCTACAGCTAAGATGTACTAGTATATAGTACGCGAAACGAAATGGTCCCCCTCCACTCCGTACATACGACTTTTTCTCACCCGTCAACTCTACATTCCCGATTTTTTTTTTTTTTTTTTTTTTGGGATACCTAAGAAAAGATGGTAGTAAGTGTGGGAAAGTGAAGAAAAACAAGAATGACTGAAGTAGTAAGCATAAGCACCAGAATCGGATTGGTTTTGTTTGGGTAATTATATGTCCCTACAGCAAAAACCAAAATTGCGCTAATTTGTGTCCGCAGCATCACAAAGACGCGACTCAACCTTCTGAGCCCAAATATGCTTTGCATTTGATGCCACACAAGTTGCTTGTGCGCTTACTATTATCAGCAGCAGCAGCAGCATCACACAAGTTGTCTAGCTAGTTGGATAGACAAACCATAAGCCTTCATCACCTACTTTGTTCTACTGGACCAATTTTGGACATATACATCATGAAGAACATTTGATCAAGTGATGAATCATCTCTTTAAAATGCAAATAATAAATTAATATTTATATTAAAATAAATATAAGTTAGAGAGAGAGAGAGAATTATCCAAATAATTTTTACAAAGGGAAGAAACTAGCATCATATCATCATGTCCCTCGAATATGGAAGAATAAAAAAGAAAGGGGATAAGGAAGCGCAAAATAGTTAATTCAAGTAATACCGAAGGGTATAAAAGACTTTTCATTATGCTCCAAGGAGGCAAACAAAACCAGACCGGTCCAGACGCCAACGCCGTACGCAGAAGCAAAAGGATAGGTAGATGTTTTGCAGACAGACAAATAGCACGTCAGTGCCCCCGTTTGCATCTTATCTTATTTTGCAGTGGCCTGAACTGAAGCCTGAACTTAACGGGTCCGCGGGCGCTAGCCGAAACAATGTATTTTTCAAATCCCTCAAAAAATCACCTGAAAAACCCCCCATGTGGCACTCAGATATCGAACCCTGCTGCGGGAGTTCAACTCCCTGACCGACCTTTAACCCCCATATGGCTAGTGTTGGTTCTCTTGGATTCCAGCAACAAGCATGTTTTTTTTTTTTGGGAAGGCAACAACATATTTGTTTATGCGCTAACGAAGAACCATGTTCAGTTCAGAGTAAGGGCGAAATATCTTACGTAGCCTGGCTGTTTTAGAACATGTTCAGACTCATCCATTCATGCTTTCCAAGAAGATTCAACTGGGATTGCTTCCCCAATATGACTGCCACCAGACGTGTCGTGTCAATCTTCTTAGCATCCAATTGGCTCTTTTCTCACCAATTTTTTTTTTTTTTTTAAAAAAAGAAAACACTCTCTCGTCCCACAAGGGTTAAAGAGCTACGAGAATATCAAATATTACAAACATCAAGCACCATACAACATCATCAACACTCAATTGTAATAGCTTTTGGAAACACAGTCGCTTGTTCCTTCTTCTTTTTTTTTTTTTTTTTTTTTTCTATTATAGCATCTGTGTCTGGGAGCCTTTTTAGAAACCAAAAGAAAAGAAAAGGTTCGTAATAGCTTGATTGTATAGCCCGAAAATTGAAGCAAAACGCTATTAACTACCTTTACACCACGGAAATTAAGAGAATTCCGGAGGGTGCACACTAAGACGACAAAGGAAGCATCAAGAAATGTATCTTTCCAAAAAAAAAAAAAAAAAAACTTTAAGCCTAAAAACTCGTCTGAGAAACCGAAAGCAACCACAACTAAGGAATCAAAGTTATAGACTGTCAAGAAATTAAAATGCTTGACCATCTTTGCAGCCCCTTAAACTCTCAATTAAGCCACTGGAAAGCGACGACCTCTGGTGGAGCAGCCGAAGCCGCTAGAGCTGGGCTGTTGCAGACGCTGCCATCAGAATGAGAAAACAACGCTCTTTGGAAAATGCCAGTGGGTGATGAAACCGTGGTTGCCGGAGGGCTGACTGAGTCGCCGTTACTAGCGTATGGAGATGCCGGATTTGATCCACAAGCGACGGAGTTAGGCTGCAAAACCTCAGCCAGTGGCCCACCTGGAATGAGAGGCAGCCAAGAAACAGGGCTATCTTTGGGCGTGGGCATACGGGGATGAGAATCTTCGGCCAGTCCCGTCCCTTCATCAAGTGCATTTCCTGCCGCCATAGCCATCGAAAGCGGGAGAGAAGAAGGGGACAGGCCATTCCCTCTTGAAGATGGCACCGAGGACTCGTCAATTGTCTTTAAATCCCCATTTGACCACGCATCAATAAAGCCCCTAGGAGGACAGTGCTGGTCTATCTGAGGCTGCTTCGATGCAATTAAATCAGAGTTCAGGAACGCATGGTAGTACTCATCGTTCCGGCTGTGGATACCCCCCGGGTAGGCAATTTCAGTAGCATAAGAAAACAAGTTCAATGGCCCCTCCTCGCCATAGCCCTGTTGCAGAGTGGAGGCGTTAGTGCCGTAGATATAGCCCCGGATAGGAGCCAATCCCTCTCTTCTTCTGGTGTCCATCAAATGCAGCGACTCTTGCTCAACCCGATTTGCTGCCATAACTTCCCCATCCACGGCCCAGCCGAAAACCCTGCGAATTACAATGGATATGAGCGGACAAAAGCCTATAAGTAGAACCCAAGAAACTTAGACGAGGTAACAGGAAAGCCAGAGACACAACTTAAACGAGTGAATGAACCTGTTGGATTCCTTGTAATTGCAAGAAGATGCAAAGATACTATTGAAAGCAATTGATGCATCAAGAAGTTGAGGGTCCTTGAGCTGCTGGATGGTGCCGGTTCCTTGAAACTGTGGAGAGGAATGGTTGTCTGGTTGAGCAACAGTGGGGTTAGGGTGAAGGGAGGTGTGGTGAAGGCGGGACTTCTTGCTAATGTTGTTGTTGGGATTGTCGTCGGGAGATACGGACGAAGACTGAAGTTGTTCCACAGGCTTTCTTGAACGGGGACGGCCTCTGTGCATGTGGCGCTCGCAGTACTTCTGATGAGGAGCCACATCTCTAGAGCATCTCCATTTCTTGCCATCCGTTCTTTTGCACCTCCCTGGCTCTAGATCTCTATTCCCATATCTCAAGTTGTATATTGAACCACCACCTCCATGACCCCCCGAGGAGCACTGCTGCCCAACAACAAGCACGTTTTAACTTTTAAGATAAGAAGATATCCCTAGTTTTTTTTTTTTTTTTTTAAATATATATATAAATTAGCTAGTAAAATTAAACAAGGAGACAAGAAAATAAAAATTAAAAACAAAAAAAAAATTTACAGACAGGGAGCGGCAGTTGGATCTGCAGGTAAGAGAAGATCGGAAGGTACGGGTACAGATGCTATCATATATTTGTAGATCATAGCTTGTCTTTCAAGCTCCTTCCATTGAACCGCTGTAAAAGGAAAACCCAGAGCTGCTGAAGCTGCCGCCATTCCAAGCCCTCCTCCTCCTTAATCAGCAGCAGTACAAAAAAATCAAGTTGTATTCTTTCTGGTCCATTTTCTTGGCAAGTTTTTCAGACTAGAAAATTAAATGAAATTAAACGAGTAGTGGTGCAGCAGTACATGTTGGTAATAGCAGCATATAAACAAACTAAGGGCGGTGAATCAGTTAGGGATGATTGACTTGTAGGAGGCAGCAGAGTAATAATAATAATAATAACAATAGTGGTGCATATACCTGGGGATTTGGAGGCGGTGTTGGTAATAGAACAAGGAAAGTCAAAAGGCTGCAAAGTTGTTGCTGCTGCAGCAGCGGCTAGGCCAGCAGTTGCACTCCCATTGTTGGTAACAACAACAACACGGTCAGGGAAGACAATACCAGTACTAGTACTAGTAGTAGTAGCGCTGCTGCTGCTGGTGCGGCTAGGGCCGGTACTAGAAGAATGACGGCAGCTGTAATTGGGAGGCTTTGGTGTTGGTGTTGGTGCTGGGGAGCGCTCCACCTCGTTAGGTCCGCTGTCGTTTTGAGAGCGACCGCTACCACGGCCACCACCATCATCTTCATCATCATCATCAGCACCGTTGGCCGATGATAGCAATGGACGGTGATGATGATCCATCACGCCGTTGTTGGACGGAAATGATTGGGTACGATGCGACGCGGTTGTGATGATACCAGCGCTACTGCTGCTACTACTACTACTTTCTTCCATGTTTGGGGTTGAAACGCTCAAACGACTTGGTCTTATATTATATTATATTATATTGTTTCACCGTTTCCCATGTTGTAGATAATATAATATAATAGATTAGATTTAGATGTGTATTCCTCCTCGCAGACCCGACCATACTTGTGGGGGGCATATATACGTATTACTGAGCCCCCACTCTTTCCCAAACTGGAAACCCACGCATCCCTTCGGTCCCAAAATGTAGCCCTGTTTGGATTGTCATTTTCTGCCAGGAAATTACGTCATTTTTCGTGATCATATTTCTCTATTATCTTTTTTCCTCACATATATCAAATTGTTACAGTAATTTTTTCATGAAAAATAACGGAAAATGCAATCCAAACAATTCCCTTGCCAAGTCTTATTACTCTTCAGATTCTAACACGTACGATAAGTCATGTTACATGAATTGGGGGTCAAATTCTAACACGTATAATAATTTATGTTATATGAATTGATCTTGAGTGTGGCATCGCGACTCTTCAAATCTCAACACGTATAGTAAAATTCATGCTATAAAATTTGATTTACATGACCTCTCACGCGACACATGTCAAAATTTGAAAATGATCTATGACAGGGAGTTGAGAGTCCGAAGTGACATTATAATATCGTCTTCTTCAATAATACTTTAAACCCGCTCAATCGAATTTACTAAACTACGGTTACTTGACAAATTTCATTACTCTCTTGCTACTAGTAATGTAATTTCATAATAATCAAGCCTTCGATTGAACTCTTTATTTTGAAGCGAGTAATTTGGTTAAGTTACACACCCATATAGCTAAAAAACAGAGAATGGGCCAACCACTCTCTTCCTCTCACAATCTGTTCTCAAAAGTCTAAACACCAGTCTTCCTTGTGCGTTCGTAAAGGGAAAATAAAAAACAAAAAAAAAATAAAAGAAATGAAATTGAAGCCCGTTAGGGATAAGGTGGGGGGTACCCTCAGTTACTTGTTTCTTGTTTGTGCGTTTGGTCGTTCCTTTTGGGCAGTGGGAGATGAGTAATAAGTTGCGGGTGTCTAATGCAAAAATAAAAGGCTCCGTCTGAATTGCTTTTTTTTTTCAAAAAAAATATTATCAAAAGTTGTATCATAGTATTTTGATATATGTAAAATAAAGAAACGATCAAAAAAATATATTTACAAAAACTATAAAAAAAATCTTTTTTTTTTGTCTAAAGCAAAAAAAATCTTTGAAAGACTACAGTCCAAATGAGGCCCAAGTCATTAATGTGTGAGGAAGGCACGGGGCATGGGCGGGGGGCTTTATGAAATTGTGAGTTAGTAGTTGAGCAGTGGCAGACTGGAAGTGGTATCTCTTGGAATTTAATTTTAATTATTTTTACTTGGATTGGGGCCGGGGGGGGGGGGGTGGGCGGGGGGACAATAGAATATGTGTTTTGCCGCCTTACTCGGCCTTTGCTTTGCTGCCATGCTTCCAACATTCGCACCGCAACGGTGTAGAGAAATCTCTACTGATCACAATAAAGGCACTCAGCTTCCAACGTCTCTCTCTGTCTCTCAATTCTTCGTTCTTCCCTCTCTCCCCTATAATTTCCAATACGGATCGTTTTCTGACTCTGACAAAGCTTGACCACCGTACCAAGTCCCCACTGTTTTCATTATTTTATTCCAAACAAGGATCAATCCTATTTAATTTATTTCCGATGAGGGCCACAGCGATTGATCTGTCTCCAGCTCCCATTCCTCTTTCATAAGGTACATGAGATGCTAATAAAAATAAGGGATAGTATCAAAAACCTTCCTTCAGGTTTTTCTTAACGTCATTTGGCACCTTCGAAATTGTAGAAATATCACTTACCGCTTCTAGTCATTATAAAAAGATTAGATCAACCTTTATTTGACACATAATTCACAACATATCAAATAAATAAAGATCAAAAATAAAAATAAAAAAAGAAACGAAATTTACTTACTTATTTTTTCTCTTTTTCTTTCTCATTCTCTCTTACTCGTTTTTTGATGATTATGCAATAGGTTATTTATAAGTTATAATAAATTGAATTTTATTTATTTTTTTATTTTTTGTGATTGTGATAAAAGTGGAGTATGATTTATTTGTTTATTTTGAGTTGATTTTTATAATGATTGGTGCAATTTAATGATTCGAGCAGGGGTTGAGAAGATGTTGAAAAAAAATATAAATTCATAAGAAATTGATTTTATGCATATAAAGTTAAATTGAAGCAAATGTATTTCTTTTCATATTTTTTTTTTATTTTTCAAATTTATATTTTTATGAGTTATAGCATATATGATGTGGTAACACTATACTACAAGAAATTGTTTATGAGATAATGGTTTTCTTGAAGTGAACAAAATGATTTAGAAATATTTTTATTTAGCAAGTGAAAAGGGTAGTTTATGATTTTTAAAAAATTTGTTACACAAATAACAAAAGTTGCGAGAGGTGAGTGATATTTTTAAAATCTTAGAGATACCATGTGATATTAAGAGAAAGCTCAATGGAGGTTTCTAATATTATTCATAATAATAATATGAAAGTTGGGGCTCCGTTTTAACTTGAAATGCTGCCATGTCTGAGTTTGGATTGTGATTTGTTTCCATTTATCCATATATTGATTAGTTTGGATTGTGATATGTTTAAATTACTCTTGCTATTGTAAATTCCTATCAATCTTATAAGAAATGAAATATGATTGATGTTTATCAAAAAAAAAAAAGAAAGATAGTATGATGGATGATTTCTCTTTCTGCTCTCTCTCTCTCTTTTTGGCCGAATGATCGATGAGTTCATATGCAAACTTCTTTCATATTACATTATACATAGGACAGAAATTTAATACTACTTTTATGAGCTAAGATAGGTGAGGATGGTCATCCCGGCTTAGTCTTATTCGAAATGACATTCCAGTCTGGTCTTAGCTTTAACCGCAACGTTCACCTCGACTACCTAGTGACCTTGGAAGACCGAAGTGAACGTGATATTCGCTGCCATCTCAAAAGCGAAGCGATGAAGTGACGACCGGGGTTGTGTCTCAGGATTTGACAACTAAAAAGCAGTAGATGTGACCTCTGACATTGGTCACTGCTCTAACACACTGCCTACTGCCCGGAGTGATCTAATCAAGAGGATATGCTGTCTTAATCAAATGTTTAGGGACCTAGACCGCACGGTCATTCCCTTCAAATTGTCCTCTATAAATAGGGGAATCTCCCACTGATCAAAGGGAGGGATGATGCTGGTAAAAAGCCTAAATTATTTCCAATCATCCTTGTACTATTTTCTACTCCCAAACTAACTTAATTTTCAGAGGAGAACTGGGGGAAATAGCCCCGTCTCTATCCATCCAAGCAGGTGATCTTTCCTTGGCTACCAATCCGGCTCAATGATTGCTCCAGATATCCGAAGCAACTCACCTGGTCATAAATCACCTCTTTAGTTGGCGCCGTCTGTGAGAACTTGAAAGCATCAAAGAATGAAATCTACGCGTTCTAAGAGTAGGAAGGTTCTCATTATTGGAGCTGAACCAAGTGGCGTAGCTCAACAAGGGGATGTCCTCAAAGGACAAGGATCTCGAGGAACTCAACCCGCGAATGAAGAAGCCATTACCCGAATGACTGAGTTTGTGGCTGAGAACCCTAATATTTTCGAAGAGTTGGAAAGGTACTTTAAGGGACAAGGCAAACAAAAGACCGAATTCTCAAAAAGAAAATCAGATGGATCTCTTGAGATCCCATCCGATGAAAAATCTAATAGGAGACATTCTATTAGAAGCACCCTGAAGCGAGTTTCATCCAAAGCTACTTCTAGGATTGCCTCTATTACCAAGGCTTTTTCATTTTGTTTGCTGGGGAAGCGAGCCGAGAAAGAACCTCGGCATCCGGGAAGGTTGTAGATAGACTATATGAGGGCTCCATCTTTCACGGATGACATCAATGAGGAAAGACTCCCCCTAAACTTTAAACTTCCAACCATACCGTCTTATGATGGCCGAGGTGATCCTGAGATCACCTTCATGCTTTTATCTCAGCCTTCCGCTATACTGTATACGCGATCCGATTATTTGTCGGGTCTTTCCGATATTCTTATAGAAGATTGCTCAAAAATGGTTATGGGGTTTAGAATCTAAGAGCATATCCTCCCTGGGAGAGTTGGTGGATAAATTCCTCCACCGGTTCATCTCTTCCTGCGGCCAGCGACTAAGATCTCAGCTTATCTGCTAAATATATAGTAGAATCCAATGAAGTCCCTCCGTTCCTATGTACAAAGGTTTCAAGATGAAAATGTACAGATACCTTGATCCCAATAAGTAGGTCACCATAGCCACTTGCACCAATGGGCTCATCGTTGAGTGTTCAATATCGGGGTACACAAGAAATATCCCCGTACACTTCAAAAACTCTGATGGAAGGTCGAAAAAGGCATACAGGCTGAAGATTTGAATCGCATGAAGAGAGAGACCCAAGTGGCTCGCTTAGGACCCGATTCCCGAAAGAAAAAGAAATCAAGTCGAAATGATGCTGGCACCAACGGTGGTCTCCAAAGTCATAACAAAGATCGTCGAAGCGTTTTCGACAGGATAGCCAAGGGAAAGTCATCTATCCCGGATTCTGAACTAACTCCTTTGAATGCTAGCCGATCACGTGTACTTTCCGTGATGGAGCAGAATAACCTCAGACGTGCTCTTCCAAAGATGTACGGAAAAAGGGATAAAAGAAACTCTAATTTTTACTGCTTATACCACCGAGATGTGGAGCACAAAACTGAGGATTGCAATGATCTTAAGAGGGAGATAGAACACCTCATTAAGTAAGGTCACTTGAAGCCGTTTATCCGTCGAGATGACAATTACAACCGAAGTTATTCCCATCATGAAAGCCAGGGTGAGCAACGGCGGGATGATCGGTAGGGATAGAAAGATAGTTGTCGACCCCTGAGGGCCTTAAGGAGACAAAGCCTCCCGAGACGGGTCCCCAGGTCATGGATCGGGTTATGGGTCAAACATTGTCGAGATCATTAACACCATAGCTG